ATTAAAGACGCTTTTAGTGTAGGGAACGTAGAGGGGCTTCTAAGCGGAGCTAAGTAACTGTGGGTTAGGACGCATGCGGCAAGCTAAAAATTTAATGAGAAGCGCCGCCAGTTAATGTGCATGTCTTTTGATTGGATTTTATGTAAATGCTTCTCGGCGCAGACGACTCAAGATTTACGCACAGACTAAGTCGCCTCGTAAAACAGCGAGCCAAATATCAAATAAATATGTAATCAAGCGGCTGTGGCAGAAGTATGCCGCGTTTTCTCAATGTGATATAAATGTGGCACACGCTGGCTGCTGCGCCTAGCACACACATCGGGGGGTTGGACTCAGTGTTTTTTTTTCAGGGGCCTCTGACTGTCTTGCTTTTGTCGTCGCGTCTTGCTTTTGCCCCAAGGTGAACCAAATAATGTGGTTTAAAGACGACACAAATGCCGTTACAGTTGTCCCCCAAGCTGCTCCCAATTGGCAGAGGTTACGCAACCTTGGCAACAGTTCAAGGTGTTGCCACCCGTACTTCCGGGAGCTGTGCGGTTTAATTAATTAAAGGTGTTAAGGTAAAATATAAAGAGACGCACTTTGGGAATGGCAACAGCTTCTACTGTGTGAGTGTGTGTGCTTGGCTTAGAGATCGTGTCTTCCGGGTGTGTATTATTAAGCATTAGCAATGTCATTGTTAATTACGATTAGATGTTAGAAAAGTACATGACAATATTTTTATCTGGGAGTCAATTATGAGAAAAAAGCATATGTTAAGGAATACTGAAAAAAATGTGAGTTAAAGGCAGCTTTTTATATTTGCTTTGTATTAGGCAGAAATTAAGCAAATATCTGTATCTTTATGTAGGCATGTATCCGTATCTGTATATGTATCTGTATCTGTATCTGTATCTATATTTATATCTGTGGATGTATCCGCATCTGACATATCTTTTGGCAATTATTTTAAACATACATAGTGTATGTTATTGCCGTTTTGATCAATCGTACTGATCAAGCGAATTTGATATGTATAGAAAAAGTAAATCAAAAAAAGTCTATTCATCAATTTTCTAAATAATTTCTTTGCCAAATTAGCTGTCTATGCAACACGTTTGAAATAAACATGTGCAGTATTTCAATTCGGAATGCATGCATGGCAGTGCTTACCTGAAGATTTCAATTATTCGTGTTCGGAATTGTTATTTGGCTTTGATATGGAATTTGGCCAAACAATTTGTTGATTATTTTATGGCTTGCTGCTGTTGCTTCATAATTGTTTGTAATTTATTTATAAGACGAGAGTAAATCGTGCAAATTGGTTTAACATTGTGGCACGTCTTACGGCTTCCATTGGCAAATTGTCACTTGATTGCATAGGTCAAAGGCCAAAACACACACACACAAGCACGTAATTGGATCAAAACAAATTGAAAGTGCAGTCTAGAATTTTGATACTCCGATAGATCGTCTGGCTGGAAACACTGGCAATTGCTGGCAATTCAAATGCCTCGGGGAACAAATCAGTTTGAATTTGTTTTGGCCGATTGACAATTCTCAGTTGGCAGCTGCTTGTTAGGGTATATGTCGCATTGACTTAGTCTATTGCCTCAACTTTAAGTTTGTTGCGGCCACGGCATCGCAACACGTACGTAGACACACACACACACACACACACACACACAGAGAGAGATAGTCAGCGAGCATCGGCAGAGCGGCAACTGTTTTCAGCACGCGTCCACACGTGTCGACGTCGAAAGCAGAACTGAACATACAGCAGCTGCCGTCCTTAAACTTCAGCGCTACGCGACGACGGCGAGCCGAAGCAGTGCGATACGAATGCACGATTACGGCATCGGTTAAGCAGTGCTCGTTCGCACACTTGCTCTCTTTGTTTGTTTCATTCGCAATCTCTTGGCGCTTGACGCTCTCTGGCAGTGCCAAACTGTTGATTCTTTTGGTTTAAAATCCCATGGCCCAGCAGCAACGGTCTCTTTGCCCTGCTGGGCCATATTTGTTGTAATGTGACAAATGCCTGATAAAGAAGCGGAGTCAGAGTCGGCCAAACAAATTGCTTGCATGTCATCAAAACAGAGAGCGGCAACGCAATGCGTAGGGCAATGAAAATGACAATTCATAAACACATTAGGCATTCATTGGAGTGGGCTGATGGCATGTGGAAAAGTGAGTTGTTGCCCTTTTTTTTTTTTTTTGTTTTCCTGATGTTGCAACACAATTATCTTTTTCCCCGTCTGCATGAAAGTGGAAAAACTGAAGGGCGAACGGATCGATATATTTAAGTAAAAGTGAATCGACGGAAAGACGGCCAGACTTGCAAGTACAAAGGTGTGTGTGTGTGTGTGTGTGTGATGTAGGGGTGTGGGCGGCACACGATGAAACGAAAATTTTCTGATGTGTGTCACTTTTTTTTCGAAATGTAATGAGTTATTTATGATGAACAAGTATGAAACAGTTGTGGTCGGAAAATTCTTGCTGGCATATTAATAAAATTACCCTCATGGCTGATGAACGATATAGTAATGTGATCTTATTCATAATCACTTCAACAAACAGGGGGCGTTGCTTAATGCAAAGTCATCAAATCCCTGTGCGAACTGAATATATTTTGTTTATGTACTTCGGAAAAACGAATACACTCGTTTTTTTTTATTAGCATAAATAAGACATCTGTATTGCCCGTTTATAACTTTTATAACTTTCCTATGACAATATCATTCAGCAATTTATATTTCACATTATTTATCGTATTAGCCAATTTGTCATTTAACAATGAGAAACGACTTTATGCCTTGGTACACATTATCCTTTGTCAGATGTGAAAATAGTAAAGCTTAGAATATTTTGTCATATAAAAACCTAATTTTCGAACGATATTATCTATAGAAGCTATATGATATAGGAACTAATAAATCCCGAGTTTGGAAAAGTTATCTGAATAGCAAGAAAAAAGGGTTTCCATTTCAAAAACCTATATTTCGACATTCGTCCGGCTAGTCTTGCTCTACTACGAAATGCTATAATTCTATAGCATTTTTTTCGTTTCCCTTTGGTAGCTTAATTTTCAACATAATGAGAGCTTGTGTCAGCATTCTATACAAATTTAAACAAAGGTTCTTCTGTTCCATATCCTTTTATATTCTGCTGTCAACATTTTTCCTGTTGCAGTTGTCCTGGCTGCCGCCAATTAAAGTTTTACTGCCAAGTTGCAAGCAACAGCAAAATTATACTTCCTGCAACACACATGCTGCTGGCTTAAGACCAATACCAGACCAAATGACTGACTTCATGTGCCGGGGTTCCGTTTGTCTGTCCGCCTGTCCAGGTCCGTGTTGGCAGCAGACAAGCCAAGATAAACCAAAGTGCACTTGCAGCAAGTGCAAAACCCAGCCCGACACGAAAAATAAGCAGCCAGACAATCAACAGGGAAAAGATCCAAGACTGAAACTGCAATTGGAGTGTGGAATGTGGCCAGCCTCATCTCAACTGGCTGGCGACAGTTTTTCTTCATAAACACACGTTTTAATTTTACCCAACTGACATTTCGACTCATAACTTGCCAGCTCCTAAGTGTGATTCATATGTAGGTCGTTATTTTTGCCTAATGGCCGAGCGTCCAGGCTGACCAGCTGCTGGTCGTGTAGGCACAAATTTATTTGCACTTTAGCATCGTTAACATAAATGTCATTAAAATAAATGTACAGGGTATGCATATATATGTGTATTATGGGTAATAATAATTTACATATATATCTTATTTGCCCAGCAGCTGCACAGGGAAAACGAAACAGAAAATTAAAATGACTAGAAGCCGCAAAATACAAAAAAAAATTGCTTACGAATTGTCCTAACTACAAAAGGAAAATGTTCAAAAACTGAAACAGCAGAGAATGGCATACGAATAAAGAATAACTGACAGGGCGTATAACATTTGGGTTACAATTTTCAATCTACCATTTATTATGAACAGTTCAATGGCGCCGAAAAAAAATATAAATTTACATACATAGAAAATGTAAATCTTGTACGTGTTCCAAGAAATGTTTTCTCATTTCCTTTAGTTCTGCATGCGAAATATAATCAATATTTTGTACAATAAAATTTGGTTTTTGATTTAATAAGTACACAATGAAGTTTAATGGGAGTCAACATATCATAATATGTATTGCTTGTATATAGACAATTTTCTCTCTATCCTCCCTTAGTCACATTCGCTTTATATTTATAACAAAATATTTGAGCATTACTTGAAATCATGGCAAGTGTTTGGAAACTCTAAGCTAAAACTCTATATATTTTTCTCTTATTTGTCCATTTCTCTAAACTCATCTTTCGTTGTTTTTGTTTGGAATGAGATTTTTGAAATTCCCACAAGGAATAAACAAATGTAAAGCGCTGCAAATTACAAATGTTGCCACAAAAAGATCGATAGTTGAAACACATGCCACAAACGTATATGGATGTATGTCCGTTTCTATGTATGTATGTGTATGACAATGTGCATATATACGTGAAGGCTCAACATTGTTGTAGCTATTGCGAATGTGCTATATGGCACAAATGAATCGGCATCTTTGGCATAGTTTAGTGGTATTTCCCGCTGGCAGCTGGATCCTTTTGCGTCCCTACTGTTTTTCGCAGCATAATCTGTTTGGTCTACTCGCCCCTCGGTTTGTCAATTTGTCTGTGTGCTCTGCCGATGCATTGAACCATAAATATGTAGATATGCCAATGAGTGCGCTCTCTGTCTCTGTCTGTATTTCTCCATTTCTTTCTTTCTGTCTATTGCTTTCCCTGTTTCTAGTTGAATTTTTCTTTGTGTTTTTTTTGCAATGCACAAAGAAATAAGCATGACAAAATAATTTTGATTTGAAATACAAAGCGCTATTTGAATACACTTTATACACCTACTATTTATTTGCTGGCACGATATTAAGGATATTGGGACAAAAATTATAGGTATATTTATGATAAAGTTATATTAGAAAGCATGCACTTACCAATTTCATTTCATGACCTCTCGTGAAGTATTCTTTATGGCAACATGGCTAAAAAAGCAAAATAAATACCGAATTAAAATAATTGTAGAAGCAAGGAAGAAAGTGTGAAAGTGAGATAAATGGATAAGATAAAGATAAGGATAAGATAAAGTTTCTAAGGCAGTATTAGAAATATTAACCCTCAGTTTAATTCATGAGAATCGCATGGTAAGGCATAGTTATAGTCAACATCTAAACAAAGCTTGTTTATATAATACTTAAAGTCAAAGCTTGACAACTTGTAAGCCTTACCTTAACTGGTGAGAATCACATAGAACGGCAAACTAAATGAAAACTATTTTTAAATTTGCAGCGTAGCAATACGTTAATTTATATTTTAATTATTCAATAACAATGTACATACATATAATATGAAATGTAGATAGCCCCCATTTGTCAAGGTCAGATTTCAATTCTCGGCCAGTCTTTGCCTTCAAAAATGTTGACTTTTACTTGAATAAACGGTCGATTAAATGCTTTAAGAATATTAACTGTGGCTTGGCGCACACACGGCACGCAAAGGTCAGCTCCTAGTTGCCTGTCATAAAAGAGCACAAATTACCCCGAAAAAAGTTAATACTACAAAAAAAATAAAATAAAAAAAAATAAAAGCCCAACTCAAATGGGAAGTCATTTGGGGCTGCTGTCAATTGCTAACAGTAACTAGTGGCGGCTGCTGCCACAATGGCTTACAGTTTCAGTTTGTTCATGAATTATTTAAGAAATTAATTAACCAACAAGAGGAGGGCGAGAGAGGGTGGCAGATGGAAAATGAGGTGGTGGTAAGCTTATTTTAATGAGGCCTCGTTTGCGAAACATTACGTGCACTTTGCCTTTTAATAATGATAATGAACTTCATTGTTTAAGTTTAAATTTGTTTGTGTTTTTAAAGCCTCAAGAGCTGTGGCTAAGCCCAGCCCAATGTTAACTTGTCTTCAATTTGGCCCCTACTCATTTGAAGAGCATATACCTTTTTATTTTTGTTTGTTTTTTTTTTTCGGGGTAGTTTTTGGTTAAAGAGGCGTATACGCAATATTTTAGACATTGCTATTGCCTCTAGCTGGTTTTTTCTGTGCACACACTGAGACAAGTATGAAATTGCTTTTCAATTGTGAGTGACTCCTAAATACCCCACTCAATCAGTTTGAAGGAATATCTCTCAACGAAAGCAGGACAAAAGAATTCACTTGCCCAGGCTATCGTGATTTGTCTTTAATATGGTTTTGTGCACAGCTATTTGATAAGCCATGTGTATGTGTGTGCGTGTGTGAGTGTGAGTGTATGTCGAAATCCTGTGAACTGTAAACTTAAAGGACAATTATTTCCACTACGCAGACGTCCCAAGAAGGGCTATTCAAGCCGAATTATTTGTAGGTCTCCCATAAAAGAACTAGGAAAAAGCTTGAAAGAAAAAGCTTTAAAATAGAATATCTACAACAGAGTATTAACTTGAGCTTTTAGTTAAACAAGTCATTAAAAAAGAAAATTAAATGTCTTTTAGCTAAGCGAGTAAAATGATAAACAAGGGACTAATTAATTTTTAAATCTCTATCTACTTTTTTTTATGAGTGAGCTGGGACTTCTCGCATAATATATAAGCGTCTGGTAGAGAGATTATTAAATTTTATGAATTAATTATGTAGAGTGAAATAATTTGACTAATCTTTCGGCTCCATTAACTGATATTATCAGAAACCTTATTCGGTTTGACTGGAAGAGCATATTATCTTTCGCTTGCCGCAAACAAAACTCAATCTTATTGTTAAACACACAACGGACGGGCTCCTTTCTTCGCATTTTTTTTTTTTGTGTTGAGCAAAAAATGAAGCACGACGCAAGCTAATAAAAGATTAGACACAAAAATGCGTTAAAATTTGACGCGCCTTCTATTCATTATACGACCCCCGACTTTGGTTGGGTTGGGTTTTGGCTGGAGACAGAGCCTAAATTCCGTTGTCAACGTTTGTTTAGGTAGGCAAAGGCCAAAGCTTGCGTGGCGGTTGACGTTCGGACTTGAGACTGGCGGACGGCCAGGAATTCCATTTACTCGCATGCAATAAAACAATTTAATTAAATTTTATGTGTGCCAGCGAGCCAAGGAAATGAAAACAAATAAACCACAATAAAGTGCAAGCAAGCGAAACAGCTGGCACTTCTTGTTCTTATCCTAGTGTTTCCTGTTCGTAATTCAATCTGTGCCTTTCAAACTAACCGCAGCCTGCGTGTGTGTGTGTGTGTGTGTGTGTGTGTCCATGTATGGCTGTCTCGGAAGGACCGACATTATGTCCCTGTCTTTTGGCAATTATGATCTTAATGTCGTGTCGTGCCCGTCTGTCTGTCTGTCCGCCTGTCCGTCTGTGGCAATTGTGTGCCACAACTGTTTCATTGCCATTGTTCACAGCATTTTCAATTTGGCAACTGTCACACATCATAAGCTACTGCTGAGTTACTGCCAAGTTAAATGCCAGCTCATTCGAAAGTTGACTTTAAACGGCTCCTTTTCTCAATTTGCCTCGTCCAAGTTTTTTTTTTTATGCACATTTTTCACACAGACATTTCCGGCAAACACACGCACACTTCGGTGTGATTTATATACATATATATATATATATATATGTGTGTGTGTGTGTGTGTGTGTGTGTTTGTGTTAGATACTTTTGGGAGTTGTTAAGTTTTCTGGCTGCAAAAACAAATGGCATTGAGCTCAAATCTGAGTTGCTTTAGGCTAAGGTCGGGCCATTGGTCAATGGCCAATTTGTCTTGTGCGTGTCGTGGCATAAATATTTTCATATCTATTTATTTAATGACTCGGCAGTGTGCCGTTGCAGGCTCAGGTCACAAAGCCAGGCCAGAAGTGCTTTCAGATAAACCACAAATTCACAATTGTTTTTTTTTGTGCTTGTTTACTTTGCACTTGCATTTATGATACCTGAAGCAGCGCAGATATCACAAGAACATAACTTATTGTTATATTGTTATTAGTTTGCCAACATATTTAATACGCGTTCTTTATCTTTATTCCAATTAATCTTTATGTCAATTCCAGTTCATGTTAATGCTTTTAGTCTGTGTTTAAGCCTCAATTACCAGCTGTAATTACAAATATTACGCATACGCCACGTCTCCCAGTGCTAATGCTCGAAATGTCAACGCATTTGTTAAATGCCAAGTAATGTGATTTCAAGCATTTCGCGTACTGCGCCAAAACAAAAGGAACCAAAACAAAACCGGAAAAAAAATAACACAGAACCAAGCCAATTAGTAGGGCCAACAATCAATGTTCAGCCCTGGCCGCCCTCTATTGGGGCGTGGCTGTAGGCAACGTGTTGAGCCGGCGTATTGTTTGCGCTCCTGTCTGACAGGCACGTTTCGACGTTTCGACGTTCCGACTTTCCGTAGGCCTGAAAAGCTGGTGAAAAAAATAATAACAAAACAATGTGCACGCCACTGAATTAGACGAGATTTGCTGCGTGTGGCACGTGTTGCCAGTTTGTTGTTGTTGTCAACTCTTCGAACGGATTTCATTTTTATATGCTTGGCGGCGACAGTTAATAAGAGAAAAGGTCGCCATCTCATCTAAGCTGTCAAATCCTCTCAGCTCGAGCATTTTGCGCATCGGTTTTATTTTTGGCCCAAACCTTTACACACTTCTGAAACTTTTCTTAACCGTCTACAGTCAAGCTTCGGCCATGTTTCCTAAGCATACCGATGTTTAATTTGGGCTATCCAAATACTTAAAGGAATTTTTATGCTCAATAAATTAAATAACATAAATTTCTTAAAGCACAGTACTTGAGTATATTTCTAGACTCAAGCTATCAGAAATGCATCGAATTCATGCAAATTTAGCCAGGCCAAATTATATTCTTTATTGGAATGCTTCTTCCTTAAACATGTTTGCAAATTGCCAAAGGCAAGTAAATATATTCATTTCGTTAGTTCTCGTTTAAAAGAGATGCCAAGAATCTTCAATTTGAAAAACAAAAAGCTTAAAACATGCTTTGTGCGTTGAGATTAGAGCGGACCACACAGAAGCGCCAGCTGCAGACTGTTTGCAATTACTACGAGGTGTGTGTGTGCGTGTGTGTGTGTGTGTGTGTAGAGGGAGGCAAAGGTTTTTATTTTGGCATATTGCAATTTGTAGACTGCCGCAGGCTCAAAGGAAATTTAATTATCACTGGCAATCAGAAAGGCGGCCAACACCAGGCCAGGACAATGGGCACAGGGCCGAGCCACGTTGCACTTAGGTGTCACAATGCCAGCCTACAATGATTAAAACCAAATTGCCATAGACACGAGCGTGCAACCATTAGGTGCCCCATCATGTCGATGGGGGCATTGAATTTTGATGCCTGGACGAGAACCAGAATGAGTAGGGCGTGACTGGACTATTAGCTGCCCGCACAACATGTGCACAAAGAAAATGGCAACGCAGCAAAGTCATCAGCATCATCATCAACATCATCCTCTTCCTCAATGGCAGCAGCATCGTCGGGTTGCCAATGTGCTTGAATGGAAGCTTAGGGTATTTGTAATGATTGAATTTGAATTGCAGTCAACAACAACAACAACAACAACAGCAGCGGGAAAAATCTCCTATATGCAACTGGCAGCTTGGATTTTGCCGCTTTTTCAACAGCTGCACGTTTCTCTCTTCCTGTTCGCCGGCTTCTTTCCGTGTTATCTTCTGGCGACTGTGCAGCTTTTCCTTAAAGCGCTCTGTCCAAACGTTTGCCTGTCTGGTTCCTTAGACGCCTGCAGCGTCATATTCTTTGAGAGCCAACTTTAGGGAATGGCCATGTCTTTGGCTTTGCCTTCTCTCCCAGTTTCGTGTGGCGACCCACTGGCGAAAAGCTTAAGGAATTGTGAAATGAACAATTGATGCGTTTTAAATGTTGGAATTTCCTGGCGAGAAAGATTTTTTGAAAATGAACACTTGTTCACATAAGATACATTTTCTCCTGCCACAAATAGAAAATAGCTTAAAGTAGAATGCGTAGATATAAGCTTTTTCTTCGTTTTTTTTTAAGGTAAAGTTCAGTTAAGGATTAAATTATTTGTTTTATTTCCCTAAATGCAATATGTCTGCGGCAAATACAAATATAAAGTCGTGCACTAAAACGAAATTAAGGGATTTTAGATTTGTGTTGAGGGAGGCATCAAAATACCTTTTTCTTACAATTTATATGCTTTCTACAATGTTGCTTATCGCGGTTATAAAAATCATAATAATAATAATAATTTTAATTATAATAATATAAATATTATGATGATGATTTAACATGTAGTATTTTAAGCGTCTGAGCTTCTTCTCTAGACGTCCAGATTGAAATTTTTAGGCTATTCGCAAAAATAATTTTAATAATTATAATTATATTAATAATAATAAAACTATTGGTACTGATAATAAAAAAAAAATAATCACTTAATTGTTTTTAATATAAAATGTAGATAAATGAATATAATGGAAAAAACGAGCACTTTTGTTGCACTTAGTAGCTTTGAATTTCTAAACACATCTGATTGTAATAAAATTGGTATTCAACCATATTCTGTCTTTACTTTGATTTAACTCTCATCGTATCGAAAAGAAAAAAAAATATGAAAATAATTTCAAAAAAATAAATATAATCAATAGGAATATCAAAATTGAAAATTGTGTCATAGAAAATTTGTAACGCTGAAAATGCTACCGATCGATCCCAATAATGAGACCGCCTATTCGTTTGTTGTTTTTGGCGCTTCGGGTCGTTTAGCGCTAAGTAAAATCTTTCCAGCACTCTGGCAACTCTATCGCGATAATCGTTTGCCGCAGGGCACTAAAATTTTTACATTCTGTCGCACCCATCTAGAGGTCGGCACATATCGCATCAAGTGTGTACCCTATATGGGTCTGAGCAAGGATCGCGATCAAATAAAATACAATAGCTTCTGGTCCAATGTGCATTGCTGTCAGGGCATGTACGATAGCCCACAGGATTATGCGGAACTCACAGCAGCAATGGTGCGCCAGGAGACCAGGCACAACATGAGTCTGGCCAATCGTATCTTCTATCTGGCCCTGCCGCCGATCGTCTTTGATCATGTGACGCTCAATATCAGCCGTAAATGTCTGTCGATGACGGGCTGGAATCGTGTAATCGTTGAGAAGCCATTTGCCAGAAACGAGCTCACCTATAAACCATATCAGACGCAGCTGTGTCAAACGTTCAAGGAATCACAAATCTATATGATAGACCACTATCTAAGCAAACAGGTCATTCATAATCTGTTCGTATTACGTTTCACCAATCACATCTGGTCAGAGACGTGGAATAACAAGCATATTGCGGCGGTCATGATAAGTGTGAAGTGCGAGAAGCCGGTGCAGGCACGTGCCGACTACTTCAATCAATTTGGCATCATACGAGATATTATGACCAACGATATGATGCAGTTGCTCGCCATGCTGACCATAGAGCAGCCGTACAGTAACTATGTGGAGGACATGAGAGACGAGAAGCTGAAGGTGCTCAAGCAAGTGCTAACACTTGACATAAGCGATGTCATACTGGGACAGTATTGCAATAATGGCGTGGAAACCGATCCCACCAAGGTGGGCTATACACAGCACGCCTACATACCCAAGGAGTCCCTGACGCCCACCTTTGCGATGGTTGTGCTGCGGATCAAAAGCAAACGCTGGAATAGCGTGCCGTTCATATTGCGCGTCGGTAAGGCCCTTAACGAAACCAAAACGGAGGTGCGAGTGCAGTACAAGGCAATGGAATGTGATCGCAGTGAAAATAAACTGAGCATACCCAATGAGCTGGTGTTGCGCCTGTCACCGCGGGAGCAGCTCTTCATGCGCATGATGCTGAAGCGGCCAGGACAAGAGCTGTGCCTCAGGGAAACGGAACTTAACCTTATGCTGCGGGACAGAACAGTGCCCGATAATTATCAGAGTCTATTGCTCGATATCTTTGCTGGCAATCAAATGCTCTTCATGCGCACAGACGAACAGTGCGAAATATGGCGGATATTCTCGCCAGTTTTGGCATATATTGATGTGGAGAGGCCAAAGCCGCTGCTTTATGACTTTGGGTCCAGCGGACCGATGGCTGCATACGAAATGGCAGCCAGAAATGGATTTACATTTTATCAATCGGACGAATGGCACGCCAGACAGGGCATGGCAAACACCACCCAGAATGCGTCTAAAGAGGTCATCAAAGCGGAGTCCAATCGAGCCCAACAGGCGACACCCAGTTGGATGACACCATCAGCAATGGGGAGTTAGGAGTAGAGTTTTCGTTAAGAGTCAGTTTTAGTTGTACTAGTGCTTTATGTCATAAATTGGTTCAAGGCAAGCAAATTTAATAAAATATCCAGCAAAAGTTTTTTAATTAACCAAGTGCAGCAGTTGGCCGGCAATAGCGTACACCTCGTACCTCAACTTTCTACAGCATCTGCTTCATCTTTTCGCTTACGAACTTGTGAACTTATCAACTGTTCTCTCGCATAAATAACACGCATGATTCGGCCATTGTCCTTTGGCTAACTTCGAAAACATGTATTAAAATACAAAATATAGGAGCAAGGGTTAAACAATGAATTTAAGATGCTCTACATTATTGGATTATATATATAATTAAACATGAGAAGAAATCAGGGAAAACCATTAAAATATTTATATATATATTCAGGGAAAGTCTAGAAAGTTGCATTGCAAATCTATTCTAAGGCGCCAAAGAAAAGGCTCGACTATGTCCCTTCCATAAAGTTGAATTCGTTGAATTCTCTTAAGAAATTGTAGGCTTAAATATTTTTTATTATAAGTGCACTCAAAAATATTTTGACTAAATCAAAATAAATTAATATTAAATAATTATAACATATAAAAACAATAATAATATAGCTATATTTTAAATTTAAAGTTTAATAATTAAAAAACAAAAATAATATTTAATGTTAGTATAATTTAAACAAATTTTTAGTTTAATAAAAATTGTTCTCCCTTAAAGCGAAATTTCTAAATTTAAATAAGATTTCGAGATGTTTTTTTCTGCGTGCATAAACAAAAAAACCCGATAAATTTTTGCAAGAACCAAGTTTAAGCGTTAGTATATCACATCTTTGGAAGTACGATTCTGAAGCCAAGTAAATGCAATTGTATTTTATATTATGTGACTGCATTTGTTTGTAAACAGCACCGTACTAGGGCAAAAGGTCTACTGTTAGTTACAGTGGCCACCGTTTAAATTTATAGTATTACAGAGTATTGAAAATAAATTTACTCTGGTCAGGCAGAACAAGTTGGCTGCTCTGCTAAAAGTTTGCAATAAGTGAAAAGCAGTTGATGATGAAGGGAAAGTAGGAAAAAAGACTTGGAGAAAATGGCAGAGAAGCGTGTGGAAAACCGAGCTAAGAAAGTTACTTTGATTTCTTAACGCAACTTTAGCCGAACTTATACTTGTACAGCTCACACGCCACACTTTGGTTTATATCTTGTTTTTTTTTTTTTTTCCTTTCGATGTTATTTAGTCGTTAAAGTTTTTGCGGTCATTTCGTGTTGATGATGCTGCCCATTTATCGAGCGCTTCGATTCAGCTCTGAATATAAATAAGTGGAATCTGGTAGCGTATTTCAAAGCTAATTAGCTTTTGCAGTCAGCAGCAGTTTTTAGCTCGTTAGATTTCAGTTTAATTAGCAGATGCATTAAGATATTCCATGTTTCAGGCATTAACAATGCGCTCTTAGCCTGATTATAAATTGCATTGTACACTTGCCAGCCATTTAGTTTATAGGTCAGCAGTCCTTACCGCTCCGCCCTGCCCTGCCCTGCTCTGTCCAGCCCTCTTCAGCTTTTTAGCTCTTTTTAGCTGCTGTTTGTTGTGTCCCATCCTGTCGACTGCTGCTTCAGTAAATCCTTTTCATGCTGCTCTGTTAAGCCACACTTTTCATATCCTTTGTTGTTATTTCGCTCGGCAATACACACGCATATGCTTTACAATTTTTGGCCATGCTGTTTCCATTCTGTTTTTTTATTTTTCTTACATTTTTTGTGGTGGCAGACATATAAAATGAAAAGATTTAAAACCAAGATTCCAGCGCGCTCTTTCTCTGCCTGTTTGCCCCTTATCCCACTTCCACTCACGCTCTTTGGTTGTTTGGCGAATTCCATGAAAAATCATTAAGAACAATATTGTCACACACAATTGAGATGGCGCCCAAGATTGTTTATTTATTTATGCCTCCTCTTGGAATACATTTTGCCAGGCATTTTTTGTCCGCAACTCTTGGGCACAATTATAATTTTAAATGGATATATTTTTTTGATTGCCGATTCGACAGCGAGCAATTAAGTTAAATATTTATATAATATATTAAGTTACATTTTCTGTTGAATTTCTGTTAAGCATAAATTCCTTTTACACGCAAATGTTCGATATTCGTGGAAAAGCAATTATTGTCTGCAATTGCTGCGACTATTCTCCAATTAAATTCGATTATTTTTACCTTAAAACATAATTATTTTGATTAAAAGCAGTTAATATCTACTTGTTTTAATGCTCTTAATTCGTCTTCGTTACAGCCAATTGTTTTTGTAATTGATGCTAACAAATGAGCCTGACTAGCTGCACCTTGATTTACCAACACTCCCTGAGATTTTTTCTCTCTTCTCTTTACTCCCACTGTTTTGTGCGTCTCTTAAAGGGGCGAAACTATTTAATTTCACATTTCAATTTTAATAGCAATGCTCGCAACCCAAACCCAAGCCATTCTCTAACATACAGACAAAGGCGATAAAAAACGAGTCCTAGTCGCACCTGGTTGGCCATTCCTCGCTTTCTCCTGCCAGTTCTCTCCTCTTGCTCTCTTTACTTCTGTTCTCAAGTGTGTGGGTGTGTGTGTATGTGTTGTATAGTGGCAAAAGGATTTTGTGTTTGAAAACCGTAAAGTGAAATTAAAATGGCTGGCTACGGCAGCTTTGCGGACAGACCAACTCGCCTTGGCTAACCGTAGAGCAAATGGCCAGCGCGCAGCAGGGAGGTAATCAAAAACAAAAAAACAAAACAAAAAAACAACGAACTTACATCTATCGGCAGTAATCCGACAATTGAATACCCTTGCAAGCTTTCTATTCGAACGATTATTCCTATTACCTATATTTTTACATACTTGAAAAGAAAGAAAAACCTTGTAAAAAAACCTTAAGATATATATCTTGCATGTAAAACGTCATCATGCACTGATTCCTCCTATAGAGCTATATGTTATAGTAATCCGAAGCCCATAAAAGGTTTCACATTTATAAGAAGTGAAACTATTAAGAACTTTTCTTTTTATAAATCGTTTCTATGTCAGCTATATATATGATATAGATGTCCGACCATGTTTTTGACTGCAACACAATGACGAATATAAGAAGGAAAGATATTTCCCAAGAGAGACTAGTTTACATAGAAACATGCAGACATGTTCAAGAATATATAAATATTATGAACTTGTACATATCTTTTTACTTTTTTTTGCTTCCTTTCTACCAAGCGTTACAAAATCTGTTAAAAAATATTAGTACACTCTGCAAGGGTATAAAAAGTTTAAAAAATGGCAATGGAAAAAGTAGTTTAGTGGCCATCGACTCCTTCATAGTTCTTGGCCATAGTATGGTAGCTGCTATCTTTACGGCTGTTGTGGTTGTAGCTGTTGTTGTTGTGCTTTTTGTTGTTTATATTGTTGTTGTTGTTGTTGTTGTTGCTGCTGTTGTCCAAGTTACAAGCAGCTACAACAGCGATTAAAGCAGTGACACTCCCGCACACAGGTTGTGGGCGAACGCTTTGTGGATTTGGTCGTTTTCCAAGTACGGGTTTCGGTAGCTGCGGGCAACATTTCAAATTGCTTAATTTACAAGCGAGCTGCAAAAGCAAAAGCTAACACGATTGTGGCGGGATGTGCAAAAAATAGTTAGCTAAATGTTGACCAGCTCAGTAGTTGCAGCCGGTTCTGGCTGTTGGGTTTGGCTGAGGTGTCGCCTGCCTTCTGCTTGGCCATCAACAGGAAGCACGTAATGAAAGCAACGAATTGGGCAGATTTTCACCGCTTGCCACTCGCACTCGAATGGGCTCAAACGAGGGCAGCGTAAGAGAATAATATATCAATTTGATGCTGGTAAAATGCTTTAAGTGGCACATACTTTTAGAGCATTCCTTATTTGCTTTAAAGGAAATATATGTGTCCCCTGTGAAATATATCTATACGATCATCTATATCTATATAATGAAAACCGATATTGTAACTGTAATTCCTTATTTGATTAAGGTATGACGGGTTTTTGGAAAATTCTACCCGCAATTGTGGGGAATAAGCGAAAAACGTTGTATGACACTTTTTGTTGTTCTTCCGATCGACCTACAACTCTTTCTCAAAGAACTTTGTGAAAATTAATTAAACCCCTCAAATTTATTTTTCTAAAATATCATTAAAATGAACTCGAAATACACTTTTCACAAAATGCAGCGCTCTTGCAAGGAAAATACGGATCAAAGGTTTAATGAACGACAATTTTTCGACTGCAAATGGTCGGAAATCGTCTACTTCAACTTTATTTTTGTGTTAATCGCATTGGAAAATATGGGAAAATGGTCTGTTAACGCATTTCAAAAGCAAGAATCAAGAAGTTTTTCATTTACTTTTCAGAAATGATTTTTTTCTTATTTCTAAATCTGCACTTTTTTACGCAAAAAATTCAGGTGTTGAATATCGCACTCAAATGCTTTTTGATTAATAATCAAATCAACACTGGCATACATAGTACGTATTTTTGCTCAATTTGAATTGTTGAATATTTTCAACATGTTATCCTAACCGTAGGGACTTTCCTCGGGATTTGTTTTTTCAGCTATCTGTGATTTTCCTCATGCATTTTACAGTATATCCTCTCTGTTTTACATTTGCTTTCATTTCACCGTTGGCCACAAAACTGCCACTCGTGCCACATTGATAACGTTTCATTTCTTTTTTAACCCTCGACGCACAAGACACCCCAGATAATCGAGTTAGAAGGCGCAGACGAGAGCTAAGACAGGAAAAGGTTTGTTAATTTCAAAGATATTGCAAAATAATTGCGTGTTTGTTTTCGCCATCGAATTGACAGTTGTGTTAGCCACAAAACTAGAATTTAAACTGATGCAGCTGACATATATCTGCCGAAAGTTCTACCTTTAAGTTGCATGCCACCAAATATTAGGTTCAAATGGAGCTTGTTGCACTTTTATGCCCCTGTGACACTCCATCCGATGTACGTTAAAATGCGGTTTATGGTTCATATGCACTCTCGCCGTATTCTCCACGAGTCGAATCAACTTCTTAACTGCCGACCCCATGACTG